GTGAATTGCTGGATCACATGGTAGTTCTAGTTTTAATTTTTTGAGGAACCACCACTCTTCCACAGTGGCTGCACTAATTAATATTTCCACCAACAGTGCACAAGAGTTCCCTTTTCTCTACATCCTCACCAACATTTGTTATTTGTTGTCTTTTTCTTAATAGCCATTCTGACGGTGTGAAGTGTTATCTCACTGTGGTTCTGATGGGCATTTCCCGGATGAATAGTGATACCGAGTATCTTTTCACGCATCTGTTGGCCATCTGTATGTCTCTGGAAAATTTCTATTCAGGTCCTCCACCCAGTTTTTTAAATTAAAGTATAGTTGATTTACAATGTTGTGTTAAGTTTCTGGTGTACAGCATAGTGATTCAGTTATACATTTTTTTCATATTCTTTTTATTACAGGTTATTACAAGATACTGAATATAGTTCCCTGTGCTCTACAATAGGACCGTTGTTTTTCTATTTATGTACAGTAGTTTGTGTCTGCTAACCCCAAACCTCTAATTTATCCCTTTCCCCTTTCTTCTCTGATAACTATTAATTTGTTTTCTATGCCTGAATCTGTTTGTTTTGTAAACAAGCTCATTGGTATCATTTTTTTAGATTCCACGTATAAGTGATATTGTATGATATTTGTGTTTTTCTGTCTGACCTACTTCACTTAGTATGATCATCTCTAGGTCTATCCATGTTGCTGCAAATGGCAGTATTTCATTCTTTTTTTTTCATAGCTGAGCAGTATTCTATTGTACATATATACCACATCTTCTTTACCCAGTCATCTGTCTATGGACATGTAGGTTGCTTCCATGTCTTGGCTATTGTAAACAGTGCTGCTATGAACACTGAAGTGGATGTATCTTTTTGAATTAGTTTTTTTTCTTTCCAGATATATGCTCAGGGAGTGGGATTGTTAGATCATACGGTAACTCTATTTTTACTTTTTTAAGGAAACCTCATACTGTTTTCCATAGTGACTGTACCAATTTACATTCCCACCAACAATGTAAAATGGTTCCCTTTTCTCCACACCCTCTCCAGCATTTATTGTGGACTTTTTTAATATTGGCCATTCTGACCAATGTGAAGTGATACCTCATTGTAGTTTTGATTTGCATTTCTCTAATAATTAGCAATATTGAGCATCTTTTCATGTGCCTATTGGCCATCTGTATGTCTTCTTTGCAGAAATGTCTATTTAGGTTTTCTTCTCACTTTTTGATTGGGTTTTGTTCTTCTTGTTGATTTGTATGAGCTGTCTGTATATCCAGGAAATTATGCCCTTGTCAGTTGCATCATTTGCAAATATTTTCTCCCATTCTGTAGGTTGTCTTTTCATGTTGCTTATGGTTTCCTTTGCTGTGTAGAAGCTTATACGTTTGATTAGGTCCCATATATTTTTGCTTTTATTTCTATTGCCTTGAGAGACTGACCTAGGAAATGCTCATTTTTTAATTGGGTTGTTTGCTTTTCTGATGTTGAGTTGCATGAGTTCTTTGTATATTTTGGATATTAACCCCTTATCAGATATATCATTTGCAAATATCTTATCCTGTTCAGTAGGAGGCCTTTTCATTTTGTTGAGTTTCCTTTGCTGTGCAGAGCTTTTTTCCCCGATTTTAATTGGGTCCTCTCTCTTTTTTTCTTGACGAGTCTGGTTAAAGGTTTATCCATGGTTTTATCTTTTCAAGAGATCAAATCTTAGTTTGGTTTTTTCTACTTTTATTTTTTAGTCTCCATTTATTTCTGCTCTGATCTTTATGATTTCTTTCCTTCCACTAATTTTGGGTTTTGTTTGTTCTTCTTTTTCTATTTCCTTTAGGTGTAAAGTGAGATTGTTTGAGATTTTTCTTCTTTGCTGAGGTAGACCTGTATTGCTATAAACTTCCCTCTCAGAACTGTTTTTGCTGCATCCCATAGATTTTGGCTAGTTGTTTCCATTTCCATTTGTCTCCAGATATTTTCTGATTCCCTCTTTGATTTCTCTAGTGACCCATTGGTTGTTTAGTTGCATATTGTGTAGCCTCTACATTTGTATTTTTTGTAACTTTTTTCTTATAGTTCATTCCTAGTTTCATACTGTTGTGATTGGAAGAGATGCTTGATATCCTTAAACTTATTAAGACTTGTTTCGTGGTCTAGTATGTGATCTATTCTAGACAGTGTTTCACTGCACTTCAGAATTTATATTCTATAGTTTTTGGACAGAATGTTCTACACGTACATGTGCACGCGCACACATGTGTGTGTGTTAAGTTCATCTGGTCTAATGCACTGTTTCTTTCTAGATGATCTATCCAATGGCCTAAGTGCAGAGTTAAAGTTCCCTGTTATTGTGTTACTGTCAATTCTCCCTTTATGTTTGGTCATATTTGCTTTATGTATTTAGGTGCTCCTATGTTGCGTTATGTATATAATTGTCATATCTTCTTGTTGAACTGATTTCTTTATCCTTAGGTAATGTTGTCTCCTGTTACAGTCTGTTTGAAAGTCTATTTTGTCTAAACATTGCCACTCCATATTTCTGTTTCCATTTGCACCTTTTCCCATCCCCTCACTTTTCTGTGCGTACCTTTAGATTTGAAATGAGTCTCTTGTAGGCAGCTTATATATGGGTCTTTTTTTTTTAACAGTTTTGCCACTTTATATCTCCTGAATGGAGCATTTCATCCATTTATATTTAAATTATTGATATGAATGCACTTACTGCCATTTTGTTACTTGTTTTCTGATTGTTTTTGTAGTTTTTTCTTTCTTCTTTTGCTCTCTCCCCTCGTAATTTGATGACTATCTTTAGTGTTATGTTTGAATTTTTTCTCTTCTTTTGTGTATTTATTACAGATTCTTGGGTTTTGGATACCATAAGATTTATATATAACAACACATATGATTATTTTAAGTTGATGATCCCAAGTTCAAATACATTCTTACACTCTACATTCTCACTCCCCCCACCATGTTTAATGTTTCTGATGTTGCATTTTACATATTATTTTGTGTATTCTTTAAGCATTTATCGTGGATACAGATGATTTTTCTACTTCTCTTAAACTTCCTACTAGCTATGTAAGTGGATAATCTACTACCTTTACTGTGTGTTTGCCTTTACCAAGGAGATTTTTCTTTCATAATTTTCATTTTCTAATTGTGGACTTTTCTGCTTAGAGAAGTTCCTTTAACATTTCTTGTAAAGCTGGTTTAGTGGTGCCGAACTCTACGTTTTGCTTACCCGTAAAACTCCTTCAATCCTGAATGATAACCTTTCCAGGTAGACTGTTCTTGGTTGTAAGTGTTTTCCTCCCATCACTTTGAATATGTTGTGCTACTCCCTTCATGCCTGCAAAGCTTCTGCTGAAAAGTCAGCTGATAGTCCTATGGGAGTTTCCTTGTATGTAATTAGTTGTTTTTCTTTTGTTGCTTTTAAGATTCTCTTTATTTTTGCTATTTTAATTATAATACATCTTGTTGTGAACCTCTTTGGGTTCATCTTGTTTGGGGCTTTCTGTGCTTCCTGGCCTGGATGTCTATTTTCTTCCCCAGGTAAGGAAAGTTTTCACCTATTTCTTCAGATACGTTACATGCCTGTGTCTCTCTCTCTCCTCCTCCTGGGACCCCTATAATGCAAATGTTAGTACACTTGATGTCTCAGACGTCTCTTTAAACTGTCATCATTTTAAAACACTCTTTTTTCTTTTTCTATTCAGCTTGGATAATTTCCACTATTCTGCCTTCCAGATCACTAACCTACTCCTCTGTATCATCTAATCTATTGTTGATTCCTTTCATTTTTGTGATTGTATTCTTCAGTTCTGTGTGGTTCTTTATATTTTCCAACTCTTTGCTGAAAAACCTATGTTCACTCATTCTTCTCCCAAGCTCATTCAGGGTCTTTGTGATCATTACCATGAAGTCTTTACTGGGGAGATTGCTTATCTCCACTTTCTTCAGTTCTTTGTCTGAGGTTGTCTTGTTCCTTCATTTGGAACATAATCCTGTCTCATTTTGCCCAATTCTGTTTATTTCTATGTTGGGTAGGTAAGCTACTTTTCCAATCTTGGAGAAGTGGTTCTGTATGGAGACGTCCTATGGGGCCCAGCAGCATGTTCCCCTCTGGTCACAGGAGCTGTATGCCCTCAGGGTGCCCACTATGTAGGCTGTGTGCTCTTCTGTTGTGGTGGGGCTGCCCTCAGCCCATTTGGCTGTAAGACCTTGTACCTGCTAGAGAGCAGGGTAGGCTTCCCACATGGTTGGGTGCTTGACCCAGTGGGGCACAGGGCAGCTGCTGGTCCACTGATAGATGAGGCCAATTCCCTGGTGCTAACAGGCTGAGATTTCCTATATGGTGCTTGTCAATGCTGGTGTTATCGTGGAATAAAAGTTCCCAAAAATGGCTGCTGCCAGCATCTCCATTCCCAGGGGGTGTCCCAGTTGCCTCCTGTTTCCCTGGATCCAAGATCAGCAAGTCTGACTCAGTTCCTTTCGAAGTATTAAATTTATGCTGGGAGTTGGAGTGCATATGCTCTTTTAAGAGCAAAGTCTACAACCTTCCAGCTCCATGGTTTTCAAAGCCAGGTGTTTTGGGGAGCTCATCTTCCTGGGGCAAGACCTCCAGGCTGGGGAGTCCGATGGAGGAGGATCTCCAAAATTCTGATACTTTTCCTATTTCCTCACCAACCTGTGGCTGTCAGTCGGTCCTGACTATACCACGTCTCTGCCCCTCCTACCGGTCTTGTGCTTCCTCCTTTATGGTTTTAGTTGTGGAAATCCTCTCCTGTGTGTCTTCAGGTTGTTCTCATAGATAGTTGCTCTGTAAATAGGTGTAATCTTGGGATGTTCATGGGAGGTGGTGAGTTCAGGGTCTTCCTGCTCTGCCATCTTGGCCACCTCCTCTTCCCAAAGTGTAAGTTCTTAATTAAGGATTTATTGTACATGGAGGATCATGAATTTCAACTTGGAAATCATGAGCTAAGTAAGTCCAATGAAAATACCACAGCATTTTTGGTTTTGCTTTATTGAAACAGTAAGTCAAAATTTAGATAAACTTAGATTCACCCAATTGGAGATTCCAGTGGAAGATAATACACTACACAGTCTTTCAGCTTTTCAAAAGTAATCTACTTATTTAGATCATCTTTTACATTCTTGAAATGTCTGCATTCAAAGGAATAACAAAATGCAGGAAAGCACTGGGCTATATTTTGTGTACTCTTGAAAGAGGGATAACACCCACTGCAAAAAGAAAAATGAATAAAAACCAGGAAGTCTATCATTTATATTTAGTACAGAGGGTAGAAGTGAAGAGGTGTGTTTAGTGAAAGAACCATCCCATGATGTGCCAAACAGTGCTAAATTGTTTGCCAACCCACTCAACACTTCCAGACAATAAAACTCACAAATTCCCTTATTCTTATATATATACTAAAACCCTTAACATAGAATAGGTTGTGCTCTCATTAAGTATTTTGTATCTTTTCTATTTGAATTTTATCATTTTAATGTTAATATTAATTTTAAACAAGCATCAACCTGTGAAATACCTCTTTAACTCAAAGATTAGTATTTCACAAACAAAACAGACAAGGAAAATACTAATTCCTAAAAAAAATCAAAATTGAAATTAAATCACAGCATCACTGCAATAAAAATGCCTAATTGAAGAGTCTAGCACCTAGGCAAAGTATCTCAAGATGAACCTACAACTGAGCCTTATGAGGGAACCTGAATTATCCAACTCCAGGCAAACACTGTAGATTGCAGAGGAAGAAACAGTAGCAAATTTTTCAGCACCAAGGTACATCTACATCAGAAGAATTAATTGATGCTAATGAATGTCACTAATATAAAAGCAAAAGCAAGCGACAAAGGAAAGCAAGCATATAAACCAAAGGTTCTAAACCCTGGAGAGTTTTTCCAAATAGACATCTTGGGATCCACCTCAGACTAGTTCTACTGGGATTTCTGAGATTCAGACCCTGCCACAATTTTTTCACAAGATTTCCAGGTGATTTTACATGCATCCAGGGATGAGGAGCATAAGTATAAATACAAAGAAGGTAAAGAGGAAAAGGAGAGGGGGGAAAGCAAAAAGACCTTCAGAAAATAAGCACTAACCATGATTACCAATTTCTGTGTTTAAAGCGTCAGCTTTTCCACTTAAACTATGCTCATTAAATTAACAGTACCCTCTACTGGTCAGGAAGAGTATCTATTATTCCTAAAACTATGGTACAGGAAAAAAATCTTCAACTTTGCTAATTAGCTGAAAGAGAACAAATTTAGAAACAATCGATTAGTGAAACTTCATTATGTCTACATTGTCTCATAATTTAAGTGTAAAATTAGTTGGCAAATATTGTGTTGACAAAGATGGTTTTAAACTTAATTCCAACAATCAGGAGCCATTTTTATTGTAGAATTTAGCACATCCCTGCCTCCACGCACTAGATGCCAGTTGGAAACCCTCCCCTACAAAATTGTGACAACCAAAAACTTCCCTAGACATTGTCAAATGTTCCCATACCCACGGAGGGAGGGGCAATACTGCCTTCAAGTGTAAATCAATGACTTATACAATCAAAACGTTCCTGAGAAATTGGTAATCTTTAATTTTTGTATACATAATAAATACCTTATTAAGAAAGAACAGCCATGGTGAAGATTTATTTTTAAGTAAGTTATTACGGAGTTTGCTCATGGATATGTGTGTACATGAATGTTCTATTTTTTTTAACTTAAGCATCTCATGATGTATAAACCTAAGCAGTACCACAGTTTAATCAGTATGTTTGTTCTTTTATTTTTCAATTTAAAGACCAAAATCAAAACCTCTGAACTTACACTTTTCAACATGAAAGAATCAAAGAATATAGTTATAATTATAAAGTAGCATCAGTACAGCAAATATTATCCCTATGAGTATTAATGGACTATATACTGAAACAAGGTAAAATATAATACTTTTATTTTGTACTTACTTTGAAGTGTTGCCACCAAAATCAACTACAAAAGTTTATTCTGAAAAATGCTACTGTGAAGCTGCAGACTCAAATATTGATAGTTATTCAAATGGAATAACTAGGAAACAGACTGAACTGGAACCCGTGGATGGTTTTATAATATTAACTAGCAACATTTTTTTAAAGACGTAGAAGGCTACTGTTTTAATATAAATGAGGAGTCTTAAAATCTCCTCCCTTTAGTGCTTTCAATTACCACATGGCCTTAAACCAAAGACTCAAATAATTTCAAATGATCACAGATACTAATTAGGCAAAAATTCTCAGGTGTCAGTACTTTTAATGTTGTGCACATCAAATCAGAGTAAAAAGACAACTATATAAACAAGAAGCAGCCCCTCTATTTCCATGAACAGCACACACTGCATTACAGTAAACCGAGCTTATATTCAACCATCAAGTGTGGTTCTCCCATTAGTTCACTTTGTGACGGGTCTGAAAACAAACAAAAACAAACATATTAAAGATTTCAAAAAGATAAACTCAATGATTCTACTCATATGAAAATTTAGAACAGGCAAAACTAATCTAAAGGTACAGAAAACAGACCAGAGGTTGCCTGGGGCCAAGGGTGGGGAACTAACAGCAAAGAGACCAAGGAAACTTTTGGGGATGATGAAAGCATTTACATCTTGATTGGGAGGGCTAGTTACACAGCTGCACACATTTACTAAAATTCACAGAACTAGACACTGAAAATGGGCGCATTCTAGTGTATGTCAATTGTACCTCAATTCAGTCAATTTAAAAAGAATATACAGATTGAAAAAGTTCTGCTTTTTCAAAGTCCTTAAGTTTTCCAGTGGCTTCCCAGATGACTCTAACAATCACTAATTAAGAGATTAAACAATCTCTTAATCTAACTTGCAAAAAAAAAGCAACACATTTTACATCTATCATTCTGTGCTCTGTTATAAACACATATACACAAACCAGAATTCTAGAGCAAGGAAACCTTAAATAATCTTCATTCTCTTGTTTGCATTGATGAGTCAAACAATAGTCTTACTTTACCTGTGATAATGCACCTAAGAGTTTTTAAAATGAATACCAACAGTAAGCTTCCTACAGACAAATAGCCTTTTTTCTTTTTCGCCCTCTACCCCTCAACATAGGACGAGAAACAGAATACTCAATGAATTAAACTGTAAAATCACTTTGTAAAAATAAATAACCATTAAAATAATGATTACCAAGAGTAACAGATCAATTTGGATGTTTCTTCACTGGATTTCCTAAGAGACTAAGGATTATTGCCTCCCATCAGTTCAGCAATCTCTCTACTCTCGACACTTGTCACACAACAAAGTAGCCTTAGCAACAAATGACACTGCTATAGTTATTAATAGAGTAAACTGCTAAGTATACAATAGGCATTCAAAACCTAAATTAAGAAAAAAATATGCACACAAGTACAAAGAACAAAAATGTTTGCTGCAGCACTGTTTCATGTTACTGAGAGAGAAAAACATACGCATTCATCAGTAATGTATCGACGCAGCATACGTGCTGTAGGATACACAGAATGCCATACCAACTGTGCTCAAAACATATACACTAAGCAATACCAAATATTTTCTGACTATATATATTTGTGTGAAGTCACAGAGAGAAAAGTCTGGAAGGATATACACAAAAAGCAGCAGCCAACCAGGGAAGAGGGAGACAAGTGGGTTTGTGCAATCATGGAGAGGACTTTAGTTTCAGCTACAATGTTTTCAATTTTTAAACAAAGAATATCCTCATTTATATAATTATAATTTTCCTTTAAACTCTACTTTTTTAAGCTTCTGACTTTAATAAAATATGTGCTTATTAAATAAGTCACTTGCACCAGAAGACAGCACAGCACGCAGGCAAGGGCTTGGCCCGTGGTTCTGCCGCCTCCTCCCATGAGGCTTCCAGGCAGGACACGGCCTCCTGGTCAGTCTCAGCTTCCACATCTTAAAGTGAGAGAACCGAGTAAACGGAAGACCATTCTCAGCACTAAGAAAAAGTCTAGTTTTGACTTTCCTACTGCCCTCCTCACATTGCCTTCCCTTCCTTATAAAATAATGTGAGGATTTTTCTTGGCCAAACTGGCTTGGCTGATGAGCAAGCAAGCAAAAACCTCATCATCTGCAACACTTTAAAAATTGCAGATTGGAGAAATATACAGATATTCATCACAGTTTAACAGTCTTCATACAGTGTTAGATTAATACATTACTCCCTCATTATAGACTTGAAAACCTCTTCTGGGTCAAAGGTGATGAGGAGAATGTGGTGAGCAAGAGCTCTCAACACTTACCGTGGATCAAACACCTTATGAGGCACTGGGGACACAAGGGTTAACAAGAAGTCCTCAGTCTCATGAGATTTATATTTAAGTTGGGGAAAACAAAGAAGAAACAAGAAAAATACCAGACAGGTGCTATGCAAAGAATTAGTGACGTGACAGGCTGACCAGGACCACTTTATATTAAGTAGTCAAGGAAAGCCTCTCTGAACGAATGACATTTAAACTGAGATCTGAAAAATGGGGGGTGGGGGGGTATTCTAAGCAGAAGGAACAGCTAAGGCAAGGCCCTAAGGTCAAGCCATAAACTGTCCATAAATTATGCAGTTACAGTTCCCACAAGGGGGAAATGTCCCAAAGAGCATTGCAGTGGTCTGATCCTGATAAAAATCACCTACTCAGTCAGGGGATTTTTCCAGTACATCACTACCTTAGAGACATGCAATTAATGAATACAAAAAAACATAAGATACTAGTAATCTTTTTAAACATGAAATTACATCACGTCACGTCACTGCTTAAAACTATTCAATGGCTTTCCGCTGCACTCTGAATAAACTTTCTGTGGTCTGCAAGACTCTGACTCCTGTACTGCCCAGTTTTTCAACCTCACCTTTTTCTACTTTTCACTTCCCTCAAAACAATCCAGCTCGATGGGCCCTCGTACTATGCTCTTATATGTGTTGGGAGATAATTCTCTAGGCGTCTCTTCAGCAAGCCTGAGAAGCAGGCGCACTGTCTGCCTTTGTTCTAAACTGTCTTTCCAAGTCTGTTTCTAAAGAAAGATGGTGTTTCCCTTGGAGCACAGAACAGGCAGGCTGACTGCCTATTATAAGAGATTCAGGCATCTTGAACTTGAGGTTCCCCTTACTGTAACAAAATATACTCCATCTGCAGGTTTCATCTAATCCTCTCTTGCTGCCCTGTGGGAACTGGGGCTCAGAAACCCAACAGAAAAGCTGATGCTCTGGCCTCTGCTACTGCTGTGAGTAATACACTGCCCTTTGTCTCTAGGAGTCTGTCTCTGCCAGCACCTAGGAAACCATGGCAGCCTAACTTGTTAGTTTGTAAGTAGGATGAGATCTTAAACTCTTCAGAGCTCTTGAGCTGATCTCAAGTTAGAGACCCTGAAAATACTGCTTCTTTTGTCTTAAATATTCTTTCTTCTACTTTTAACTCAACTATTTCATATGTCTTCCAGGAATCAAGTTATATGTCAAATTCCCAGAGGTGCCTGCCCCTCCTACCCAACAACCCAAAATGAATTCTACCCAAAAGAATACAACTGTTCTTTTTATTCTGAGAATTTAATCACAGATTGTAACTATGTTTGTGTTTTATCTATTACAGCTTACCTCCCCCATTAGAAAGCACAGATGTTTGTTTTTTCCACCATCATACATTCAAAGCCTAGCCCAGTGCCTGACACATATTTGAATGAGTGCTCAGTAAGTGCCTCTCCCTTTTACACAGCTTTACAGACGTTGATTTTTAAACAAATGCATTTTTATAACTAACTAAAAGATAATTATAGACCTGAGCTATCATTTTACTAATTTTAAATAAGGTCTAAGTTCAATGAAAAAGCTTAGGAATTCCAGGTTTTCCTGTATTTAAAAAGTTCCCTCGGGGAAGATTCCCAAATAGAAGGCTCACCAGACAGCTGTTGTGTCCACAGCATTTCCTTCCTGCACACTAGTAGCCAAGCAAAACTAATATAATTTAATCCTGTTGGGTTTTTCTATTTCTCCTGAATTGCTAGGGCATAAGACAGAGGCAATACTGGACAGAATTATAAAAAATTATAATTTATCTTCGTCAGAACCAGAAAAATAAGAGGATACTATATGTATTGCTCTTACTTTCATATATAATGCAATCCTTCAGAAAATCTTGTTAAAAATAATAGATTCTTCACTATTCACCATCTACAGAAGCACAACAATTATTGGGGGGGTGGGCACAGGGAGACTACTGCTTAAACAAAACTCTTATCTTTTTTTTCTAATTGTTTTTAAAACCAGCCATATCCCACAAATGTTCTGAATACTAAAACACTAACCTTGTTTAAGCCATCCTAAAAATACTGTACTGGACTCATCCATCAGACTTTATCATCAGGACATGAAACGAATGACTGTCATTAGCGAACTGAAATGCCTATAATCTCAGAACTCCATAAATAATTTTCATTTTTAAAACCAGTCAGAGAACAGTTATCACCATTAAATTTTATCTTATGTCAGTGAATAAACACAAGTGGATCCAATCAGCTAAAAGCTCCAAAGGGACAAAGATGCTATAGATTTTGTTTGTTGACGTTGCTTTGTACCTTATTGGGACTCTATATAAAGGTGCGGAATGACACTTACCATTAAGAATGTCTTCAAATCCAATAGTCTCATCATTACCCCTCAAAATATCCAGTGAAAGGTTTGAGCTTGGAAGAAATGGAAGACGCTGAACCTTCAGGAAAAGTGTAAAAGGGCAAAATTAGAAAAAACCAAGGGGGAAAAACATACATGATCAAATTTCACATTCTTCATTCTTTATTTGTAAAGTTCACAAAACTAAGTAAAATATTACTTTAACCAGTAAGGGAAAAAAAACACAAGTTCGTATTTTAGACCAAACCAAATTTGTAAAAATTCAAAACTTTACTCAAAATATATAAAGACACTGAAATTTTAAGCTTTTATCAACACTTAATAATCCCATGAGGTTTGCACACATTTGAGGGTTTTGCTTCTGTCCAAGAAAACCAGAGCACAAACCATGTGATAAAATGCAAAATCCTAGAACCTAATACCATTTATTCCTAATAAATGCGAGATGATCAAATTCCTGAAGAAATGTCAACTCAGTGAGAGCATTATTCTACTCAGTAAACTGTTCTTATGTTGTTTTATATCGCTCATAGTGCAAATTTAAATTACCCCTAAAACAGCACTAATAACAGAAACGAAGATCAAAGTCACCTGTGGACCTTTAAAAAAACGCAGCACCATTCTGAACCAGTATTATCTACTTTTTCAATCATTAAATACATATACTGCAAACGAATACCTAAGTATAGTGGAGAAAGCATGGGCTGTACAGTCAGAGAGATGTGTATTCAAATTCTGCTCTTCCTACTTACCAGTCCACTGGCTTTACCTAAATTACCTGACCTGTCTCACGCTCAGTTTCCTCAACCGTTTAACAGGATAATACCATCTTGCTCTTGAACCCATAGCGTAGTGCGGTATAAGGTATGGATACACACTCGTTGGCACTCAACAAACGTTAATGTAGTCAAACCAAATTTTCAGTTTTTCTGTTCTTTGTTAGTTGTCCAGCAGTAACTGGAACCAACGCAGTATGATGTGACAGAACCTAGAGCACAGACTGGGGGACAGTTCTTACACACTCAGGAGGACATTTCTGAAGATCTTACTCCTGAGCAACAGGTATATGCAGTGGTATACAGCCTGCCTATTAGACACTTCCACTTGGATATTCCTAGCGGCATCTCAAATTCAATGTTACCCCCCAAAAGGGAAAAAACATGAAAGTGTATACAGGTAAGTTTTCAGACAGAACCTATAATTTGAAGAAGTTTTCTGTTTCAAAGCTTCTTTTCTCTATGAAGTTGGAATTGAGCTCATATCCAAAAAGGGGGAACATAGGACAGGTTGTAGGGAAGAAGAAAAAGTAAGGTTTGTACAGCTGTTACTAAAACAGAAGCTCCTTCCAACTGAGATCAACACACATGCGGGATCACCCACAAACTCACCTGCTGCACTGCCTTGAATTCCATTTGTAACTTTAGTGGAGCAAATAGACCCTGGATGTTTCTCAGTGTGGAAAAGTTCATTTTATCTTGGTTGAGCTGGAACTACAAAAGACGACAATGCAATTTTAAATGTGACATTCAACTCTCTGCTGCCACAGCAGTGATACTCATGTTAACACAACACTTAGAGGAAGGGTTTCAATATCCATCACTGCAATAAAAACAAAGGTTTTTACTAATTTCTTCAATACATTTTAGAATATGTATGATTATATTTTATCTAGCATGCAGGTATATTTCATTCGTGTAAAATTACCTAAAATTTAGATTTACAAAACTAATAAATTAAGGAATGTTTTAGATACTGCAAAAAAATATATTTACAAAGCGTAACTGTATTTCAGTGCTTTTGATTAGAACTACTCCATAACTGGCAAAGAAAAGGTATAATCTGAGATCCAGGAACACTTAGATACAGTGACAAAAATTATTAAGAAATTCTAAGTGTGAAAGTATCTACTTCAAAGGATTTCATAAAAGAAATAATCAGACCCATTATACCATCCTGTTGATTAAACTACAATGTTTTAACTCCACTTTTCTAAGTAATTGAGTCTGGGGGGGGACCCCAAACTGAAAATTCTGTCCAATTTGTGTTGGGTACTAAGCAGTTTTTTTCCGGTATCACACTTTTACCGAGCCCTGATCTTCCTTCTAAAAAACAAGTCAGGTTTAGCCCATCTAAATGTGCATAATTTTTCTTGTGAACCCAAACACAGAACTTCACATTTACCTCTTTAATTTAATGGTTTTTCTTGGAGTTTGGGCCTAGGTTTTTGGTCTGTTGTGTCATCTGTGACACAGTTCACTTATTCATCAAAATGAGCTAATTTTACCAGCTTTTCCCCCCCCACAAACCTGATTTATACGCTTTCTATGGTTAATCTCAGATCTTTGAAAAACAACCCTCCTGAGTCAACTTCTGAGCCTGAAATCAGAACGTACCTGAGGCAGCCAGGGACCCTTTCACAGTCTCATCTAATTTGCATTTCAGTTTCATCTTTATATTATTTGTTCTACTCTTTCTTATAGAAAGATTTCTCCCCTTGCTAAAGAGGGAGGAAACAAAAAGGAGCAGGTCAGCGTTCTGTTAACTGGGGAACACTGCACCGTCATCCCCGAGTAGTAAGATAACCTGTTTCTTCTGCTCTGAACATGTATTTAAAACCCTTTAGGTTGTCTTTAGGACATCTGTATAGGCTATACCTTTTTTGGGAATGACCTTTCCCCACCTATTTATCTGGTTAATACTGGCCTAAAACTGTTCAAATGTCCCCTTTCTAGAAAGCCTTCCACAAGCCCTAAGCACAGGTGGTTGCTCCATCCTTCGTCCCCTACAACACTTTATGAAGCCCCTGTCCACTGCCTGTCCTCCCATTAAATTTTCAGCCCCTTCAGGATGGAGATTACATCATATTCACCGTGTACCTACTGTGCCTAGCAGTAACTTGGAGATGCAGTGCTTGAAAAAGAGATGAAGGTTAGAGACATGGGCTTGGAGAACAGTAACAAAAATGTCTGGGGAAAAATATAGCAGAAAACAGGATCACCAAATGAGAAAATACTGAGACGAATGGAGAGGTGCACTAACCTCTAGAAATGTCCATAGAAAAGGCAAAGAAGAATGTGTAGAAAGGGCGCTTTAGTGAAGCGGTGTAACGGTAACGCAAAGCTATGCTGGAAGGATACTGACAACAAGGCCTGCTGTTCTTCGTGGTCAAACGCTCAACACCAGGATTGTCTTAAAAAAAATTACCAACGGTATTTTTCTCATAGAGAATAAAAATAAAGACACAGGTAACATACTTACATTTTTTTCCGATAATTCAAGAGGATGACTGGGCAGAAGTTCATTTTTCACACAGGAAAAACTGGAAATAAACATTTGAGAGAGACTGATTATATATCACTCAATGCCTGAAGTTCAAAACGACATCTATCCATGTTGCAACATAATGAAATGACATGAGGGAGGTTTTTGGGGGAATGATGAAACCGTTCTGTGTCCTGATTGTGGCAGCGGTTATAGGAATTGATACATATATTAAAATTCATATACACCAAAAAAAAAGGAAAAAGTCAGATTTACTGTGTAATTGTTTTAAATGCATCTTTTATAGGTACTGGTTGGGCAAGACTTCAATTCACTGAGAAGCCTCCAAAACATGGTGCCAAATGATGCCCTATATCTAGAAGAAATTTAATAAAGTATGTTTATTACTATTACTCTGATGACATGATTCTTGTATTACGTAAAATATCTAAGCCTCTCCTGTTCAGAGCTAATGCATATGCGACAGTTAATATATTTTTGATAAACACATGTTGAATAATCTGACATTTCCCAAACACCAACTATGTACAATGTACTACATTAGATGACACACACCTAATGACTATCATATTGTCAACACCAGGATTTGAGAGCTGACAAAAACCTTAGCAATCCTGCAACAACAGTATTTATTGAATACTGTCTTTGTACAGAACATCATCCTTGAAGTGGAATTTGAAAATGGTTCTGCTAATGGCAGGCCTAGAGTCTGAGAAGGAGGAGCATTTCACGTGAAAAACAAAAACAAAAACCAAATCATCAGGACCTGGTTACTGGTCAGCTTATGAATTTGATTATACTATAAATTAAATTACATCTCCAATTCCAAAGGCAATATACTGCCATCTTTCACTACAAAATGAAAAGACAATAATGAGGTGTTATGTCTACTGCCAGAAACCAGTCTTAGAATGACATTCCATTATAGTAAGACTAAACACCTTAAAATTAGATATAAAACTCAAAAATTCAAAACACAGTATATACATGGGAGAGGAAGCATGAACCTCATTTGATTAAGCAGAAAAACAATCTGCCAAGAAAAAGAATCAATACTAGAAATTGAGACTAAACAGATCGAAACATAAAGGAAATCGAGGGAAAGGGTATAACCAAAGTGCTCAAACCAGAAAAGAAAAATAACAGCATCTAATACTTAGTGCTTACTAAGGTCAGGTACTGGTCTAAGTATTTTTCATGTATTAACTCATTTATTCTTCAAAATAAGATATATGCTATTACCAGCCTTATTCCACGGGTGAGGATACGGAGGCATAGAACAACTGAATAAACTGCCCAAAGGCATACACCTAGTAAATAGCAGGGCCAGGACCAAAACCCAGGCAGCCTGAGTCCCGAGTCTATGCTCTTTACTGTTATATTGTAATCTCTCCCAAAGAAATGCGAATCACTCCAACAGTTAATGACATAAAGAGACAAATGGCTCTCCAAGCTATTAGCAACAAAAAGAAGAATCCTACCAAATCGTGCTACTGGGTAACATCTCCTGAAAGGATGCCCTACCCTGGGAACCTACTACTCTCATAAAATGCTTCTTACGCTATAGAAAACATCCAAGCTTCTGCTCCCCTCCTTCCCCAGTCTAAAGTATATTACCTGCTATCCCCTAAAGTAAACATATATTTACGGCCTATCAAAACAGTTAAAGAATATTGTGAAAAATAATTCACATTTTATTATAACAAAATCAAAGTCACAATTCCCCCATGTACCCTTTTCGAAGAAGATCATGACTTTCAAAAGGTCCACTTGCTGAAAGTTCAGTAACTGGAATACTGTCCTTTAGCTGAGATCCAAGCCCTCTGGCATTCTACAACACAAATAAAAAAAACTATTAAATACAAAAAATTTTTTTTAAAAATCACACTGAACATCTATGTATAAAACATTGTTTAAGCACTAGAGAGAAAAGATAAGGTCCTTGCCCTCAAGGGGCCCACAGTCTAGATAATTACCACAAGCCTTAGCATTACAGTAGAGGGATATACACGGTTCAGTGAATAATATCAAATTTGCGGGTAGGAAGGATTACTGAGTTGATCTCTGAGTGCTGTCAGATTGAAAAGCATTCCTCTTCCAGTTTTCAATTCTGCATAGCAAGGTTTGCCTGATATGTGATCTCTCCCACCAAAGCTGTTTTAAAAAAACTGATTTATCAATGTCTTGTCTGAAGAAAATGTCCAAGGTCCTAAGCCTGGAACACAAGAACCTGGAAACAACAACTGGTTTCAATCCCCCAACACAGAAGTCATGGTTAATTAGGAAAAGAATCTGGAATCTAGTGTGGGCTGTGACTAACAATATGTGCCTGTGATGAGGCACAGAACCTCTCAGGCCCCTTCCAGGCCTAGAGTTGTATGACTCTACCTGCTACTTTACTAAATAAACTTTCTCCTCCCCGACTGCTTTATAGTAAAGTGACAGAAGAAAGGTTTCTTCTGGGCACAAAGAAAAGGGGAATTCTGATCTCTGGGTTCTACTATTATCACTTTCCCAATTACCCTCTGTAAAACATCACGATTAGTACCTGATGTTTCTAACACAGTATCAGAGGAAAACAAAACTGTGAAAAGTTAATGAACACTAGTTACGCTTCGAGTGTTTATAAAATCTCTTCACTATGATCAGCCGTATTTACCAACAAAAGCTTTCTAATTTGGATGGCCTAGCCGCAGCACTGGCATCACAGTCATGGGCAATGACAATTCAGGAATCTCTCCCAAATACCGTAACTTTTAAGTTAAAAAGAGAGAAAGAAGGGGAAGGATATAGCTTAAGTTGTAGAGTGCAAGCCTGGGATGCATGAGGTCCTGGGTTCAATCCCCAGTACTTCCTCTAAAAATAAGTAGGTAAACCTAATTACCCACCCCGGAAAAAAAAAAGAGAGAGAGAGAGAGACAGAGAGAGACAGAGAGAGACAGAGAGAGAGAGAGAGAGAGAGAGAGAGAGAGACAGAGAGAGAGAAGGGGGGGAGGAGATCCAACAATACTTAAAAGTGGGAAGCAGCAACTAATTTTTCCCCCTCCAACATCTGGCATACTACAAGCTCCCAAAGATATTCGCAGAGTAAACCGAGTGACAGAAATGCGACCTATAGTTGTGGGTTTGTTATCAAGGGTATCCGAGGGTCAGGGATGGGTAAGGCGTTTGAGGACTCGACTCCCAAAGGTTCTCTCCACAGGGGAGGGGTAGTCGGCGGCGCCGCACCCCAGAGCGTTACACTTTCGGATTTGCCCTTTTGGGCTCGGCGCCAACTACCGGAAGGGTCCGGGGATAGGACGGGGACCGGCTGGGGAACGTGGGGATGGGAACGAGAAAAGGAGGCGGGAAAGGATGAAGCCGAAGCGCTGCTCGCAGGACCAGCGCAGGAGCCGGGCCCGGGCGACCGCCACGAACCCCCCATCCCCGTGACTCGACAGATC